TAACTGTATTAAACACTAAAATACAGGCCAGACAATCATATTCTGCTGCTGTGTGAACGTGACCTTAGTGCTTCAGTCAGTAAACAAGCACTCTGAATCAATCCAGTTATGTCCTTGCCAAGATAAACAGTGGATTGTGTTCAGTATTATTATATTTTTAAAATCAGCACAAGTATATTGTGGTTTACACAGACAAATATTGACTGAACAGAGCTGAAAGAGCTTCTCATTTCTCTTGTTTGGTGCTGAGACTGGCTCTTTCCTCAGCTGCAATTCTAAGTGAGACAAAACTCTTCATGGTCAAGCCGTCGCAAGAAGTAACCTAAACCCAAATAGCACTCATGCTAAAAAAATAAAAATAAAACATGGGGGTCCAGGGAGAGTTGCCATTCTTCAGGTGAGGGCCTTTTAACGTGATTCTGTGAGACCATTCCTTGGCAGAAAGCTCCTGACAGTAGACAAGCAACATAAATCATCTGTTTCAGCCTCTGGATGATTTTTCTGCTCTCCTAGACAATAGAGCTGCATTTCAGACTGAGCCCCATTAGAGCTGCATTGTCCCGCCTCTCAGGAGGTGAGCCATGCGTGCGGGTCATGCTGTAACGCCTTATCCAAACATTTCAGTATGTAAAATAATATTGCTCACTGACTGTCTGAAAGAAGCCACTGAATGTGGATGTAACCCTTCTGGTTTATAGAGCACTAATTACAGTGAAGCTGCATAAACATTAGTGGTTACAGCGAGCATGCATGGTTGCTGTTGATCATGACTGTACAAGTTCAATCAAGCATGGACCACATTACCGGCATGCTAAAAACATGTCATACTCATAAGGATTCTTTAGTACACAGATACATACATTGCTGCTGACAGATCCATGATGTCCATACAGTTCCACGCTCTCATACACCGAAGATTATGATGGCGTGCAGAACAGGAAAGAAATCAAATCAAATCACCATTCAGCATTTGTCATATCTCAATAAGGAATGGTGAAAGACAATGAACTCTGAATGTGTTTTTCAAAACACAATCTATAATAATCAGCATTTCCCCAGCATGAGAGATAAGAGACTTATAGTAGTCTTGTACTCTGCATAAAGATATTCATATACACCATTTACACCGTGCAAATTTGTTCAAATGAACATGCATGGATCATGCACTACATCATCTGTCATATTTAAATGTGATTGAGAACATGCAACAATTTCTATTTCAACAGATGTGTTAAAAAATTAAGAAATAGTTCATCCAAAAATGATCGTTCACTCACACTCATGTCTTTCTAACTCTTATGACTTTATTCCTCTTTCGTGGAACACAAAATGAGAAATTCATAGCAGATAATGGATAGAAACAGATGATAACAAGTTACTTTTAAAAGTAATGCATTACAATATTGTGTTACTCCCTAAAAAAGTAACTAATTACTAGTGCTGTCAAATGATTAATCGCTATTAATCGCATTCAAAATCAAAGTTTTTGTTTACATAATATATGTATGTGTACTGTGTATATTTATTATGTATATATAAACACACACACATACAGTATACATTTTGAAAATATTTACATGTATTTTGGATGTGATTAATCGCGATTAATCGTTTGACAGCACTACTAATTGCATTACTTAGTTACTTTTTATGGAATGCAATGCATTGCATTACTTTTGCATTACTTCTGGGCTGGGCTTACTTGATTGTTTTTAATATAAAAAGTTCTGCTTTTGGGCAATGTAAAAGCACTTTCACACCAAAAGTGAAATGAATAAGCCTCAGGCTGAAGGAGATGGAAATTCACATCTGTAAAGTAGAGGGCGCAGCTCAAACAAACCTTACTAAAAAAAAGTATTTTTTGCTTATTAGTATGATTGAACTGGATCATCAAATGTCAGCAGCAAAGACATTGTTTAATAAAATGGGATTAAATACATAAAGGATATTTGTATTATTTAACATACTTCATTATTGTAGGTGTGCATCATATTCAGAGTGCATTTTACTGTTTTTATATATGTTGAGGAATACTGAATCTGTTTATTGTGAAGGTGAGATGAGTAAATGCATATTCACATTTAGTCTAGAACTACAGTAAGCCTCATTTTGACACAGCACACATAATGCCTCTGCACTTCCGATTTCTCTCAACATTGGACAGGAGAGCTGTCAGTCAATAAATGGGAAAATAAAGTAACTTTTGTTACTTATTTGAAAAAGTAAGTAAATATTTTCTTGCAAATTAAAAAGTAATGTGTTACTTTACTAGGCACATGAAAAAAGTAATCTGCAGTAAATTATTAAATCTAAAAAAATATATAATAACAAATATAATTAAGCAATTTATAGCAATCTTTTCCATGCAATGAAAGTGAATGGTGACCATGGCTGCCAAGCAATTTCAGTCTCTTCCTCAAGTCAAGTTATCTTTAATTGTATAGCGCTTAATACAACAAAGATTAACAGCGCAGCTTAACAGTGAAGGAAGAAATTCAGCGATGCAAACTTCATTAAATATGACAAATACAAATTTTGTTAGAAAATAAGTTCAATTCTGTAATGAGTAGCTCTACTGTGGACAGTATGTCATGTTGAGTCAGTTCAGTGTATTCAATTCAGTTCAATAACAGTGCCGATGTTGCAAAGTCCATCAAACAATTTGATTTAGCTATAAAGCAGCTCTAAAGAAGACAATATTGTCATTTTTTAGCTCTAGTTTTGTTCTCATCTGAGAGTCAGTGCCATCAAATCGATGATATTACTAAAGAGCAAGTCTTTTAAACCCCAACTAAGCAAGCTAAAGTCTTGCCACATGTTAAGCAATCAAATAGGTTTAGAAATCTTGAAGTTTAATGCATGAAACGTATGGACTGCTTTTATGAAGAACTATTCATTTTACTGAATGGAAGAGAGCAGTGTGAACATTCTTCAAAACTTCTCCTTTGGTGTTACTCGGATAAGAAAGAACTAAGGGTTTGGAATGACACGAGCGTGAGAAATCATGACAGAATTGTCTTTTTCTGGATTAACTATTTCCTTAGATTACTTTCAAATACCTACACATCGAATCAAGATATGGCAAAATAATATGCTCATGCAACAGAGGACTGTAAAATGCTTAGGAAGGCAGAAATGTATTTCTTACCAGTTGAGAGTAACTGTCAGGATCTCCTCCCCGCTCTTTTTTCTTTTCATTTTTCTTACGGAATATCTCTTCCAGCTAAATGAAAAAAGTAGAAATGTATCTTTAAGCATTCTGACACTCATATTAATAATAAACAACAACAAAACCAACCGTACCACCATGAATTCCCTCTTATCCACCATTTCATTGCCATCTGCATCAAACATTTTGAAAGCTATTTTAAAACCTGCATGCGGCTCTAGAAGACAAAAGAAAGACATATAACACATCTTCATGAGGCTATATTTCTCGTGACCATTGTTTGTGCTAAACAAGCGTGGATTTAACCTAAAGACACACTTACTTGTCAAAATGCAAAGTAGAAACAGATACTCTGTGTAAGCGATGGCACCTGAAAAAAAGCACATAAACATTTCCTTTCAAGAGTTCACACAAAGCTTGTTTTCCAACATCCCAGAACCTGCCTTCAAAATAAATTTTACTATCAAATGTCATTTTAAACTAGAGATCCTTTCTTCTTTTACACTGATAAGATCTAAGAGGATCCCGTTCTTTTCTCTTGTTTGGTGTCCTCTTTGCACAAACAGAGACGTTAAAACGTAAAGTAACCAGGCTGGACACAAACCCAAACAAAATTAGAGCAGGCCAATGGCCCCTGAGTTCCCCTCTGTTTATTTTCCTAGGTGTAAAACATTCTCAAGTGATCTGTAACTGATTGCAGATGTCTGATGTGGGTTTGTTTTCCTTTTTGAGGTGTGTTAGTCCTTTGTTGTGTGAGAGGAGAAGAAAGGAAGAGCAACTGTCAGGTCTCTGTCTAGGAGAGACTTAAGGAGAATTGTTCCTGCCACTGAAAGCATTCCCAAGCTTTTGTTTGAAGGAGATGATAGTGACTTGGACACAGATAGTTCAGAAGGGCTTCTTTGAGTGCTGAGGGAAAAGGACTTTGGAATGTTTAAGGAAGCAGAGAACAGAATAGAGAAGATACATTTTCACATTCTAGGCCACCTTGATCCTGATGTATATGTTCGTGAATTCACCACTATTTTGTATTTGTATATAACTAATGCTGTGAATTTAAGGTGTTAATTTAATATAATTAACTATATAAAAACAACATATTAATTCATTTAGTTATAATTTCATTTAAAATGTATTATGCAACAATTATTTCAACATTGATAAAAAAACGGTAATTGTTTCTTCAGCACTAAATCAGCATATTAGAATGACTTCTGAAGGATCAAGGATCACATTTTAAAATATATTCAAATAGAAAAAAAGTTTGATTTTGCAATACCATTTTACTTAATTTGATCAAAAAGACAGTAAAAAAACTGTAATATTACTGTAATATATATAAACATGTAACATATGTGACCCTAGACCACAAAACCAGTCATAAGGGTCAATTTTTTGAAATTGAGATTTATACGTTATCTGAAAGCTGAATAAATAAGCTTTCCAGTGATGTATGGTTTGTTAGGATAGGACAATATTTGGTCGAGATACAAATATTTGGAAATCTGGAATCTGAGGGTGCAAAAAAAATCTAAATATTGAGAAAATCGCCTTTAAAGTTGTCCAAATGAAGTTCTTAGCAATGCATATTACTAATCAAAAATTACGTTTTGATATATTTACGGTAAGAAATTTACTAAATATCTTCATGGAACATGATCTTTACTTAATATCCTAATGATTTTTGGCATAAAAGAAAAATTAATCATTTTGACCTATACAATGTTTTTTTGGCTATTGCTTTAAATATACCCCAGCGACTTAAGACTGGTTTTGTGCTCCAGGGTCACATACAGTAATATCAACCTGGTCTGGTAATAAACATCACTATAAGTACGTACAGTACAAAGGGGGTCTGAATACTTTCCGTACCCACTGTATATACAAGCATAAACATACATATATATTCGTGTGACTTTAATGTGCTAATTTATTACATATTTTACATGGAATTTAATAAAAAATCATGTTATGTTCATTTCCATTTAAATTCATTTATATATATATATTAAATTCAGTACTTTTAGATTAGATTTTTTAATGCATTTAAAAATGATCCATAAGTCAATGCCATCAGAGCAATTTAGGCCTGAAGTACAACTTTTTGTAATATCTATTCAATGCTTCATCTGCTATAAGTCTTTTTATTATCTTAATTTACATGCTTTAATCAGCAAATATTCATTTATGCGATTATTTGTGATAAACTGAGTGCCCTATGTATACCCACACTATTCAAAACTTAGTTAAGAGATCAGCGGCTGCCTGTGCATTTAGTCTTTTAGGATCCCAGTCAGGTTTCATTAGAGCCACACACCTTCAGTCTTGCAGAAAGAAACCCAGCCCAAGAGCTCAAACAGTTGTCAGAACACAAAGAATCCCACAGAAACAATTCATATAGAGTGTCAGTGATGGAGATGTAATCCAACTCCATTCTTAGAATTCATACTGTCCAGAGTGATACGGGGCTGCCACTAGGACAAGTCTCAACACTGCAAAGTTCAAACAGCTCTTTTCATTTTCTGAAGTAAGGCTTTGTTCACAGATCAAGCCTATCTTCTTTTTTTTTTTAACCTAAGTGCAGCTTTAACATTTAACAGCCGGAATAAAAGTCCAAATCCAGGCACTGGCACTCAAGGAGAGCAACGGTGAGCAGAGATATCATGCACTGCAATGTGGAGTGTTTTAGTGTTTTAAGTGTAAGAAAGAACATTACAAGGAATGTACTGTTAGCACCTTGGAAAGCCCCTCGTTAAAAGCTGAAAATTGTCTCATAATTTTTAACTATTCTGTGTTTAATTATAAACTACATGAATATTCTTTAAAAAAAAATTAAAAAAAACCTTCGTGACAAAAGTCTAAATGACCTGAAAAAAAAAAACAATATAAAAATATATAAAGAAAGGTAGAGTTAAATTTAATTTAATTACATTTTCTTTCTTTCTTTCTAAACATTGTGGCCCATGCCATTTTTAGAATTCTTGCAATACCATAAATTTCCTTTTAATTTGTCTATTGTTGCTGATATGTCAAGTACGATAAGCAAACACTGCTTTTTCTTGAAGCACGTCTATAAAGTAAGACCTCAGGGTAATATAAAGCTGGGTAATTTATGGATTAGTATGACTGTGTGAGCGTGGCACACCCCCTCGGCTGAGCGTGTGATTATTTTCTATTCAAAACGACATACCACATGTTATGCACTGGGTTGTTGTTTTTTTGTCACCTTCCTATCTGTGATCATCCCAGAGCAAAGTCACAGTAATGTCAGACTGATTGAGAGATAAGAGAGTATTTACAGCCTGTGCACTCTCCTGCCACATGAGGCCAGTTTCAGGATCCAGACTTTCATAACACTGGGTATGTGGGTGGCCTAAGCATCTGCACGCTAAAAACTGTATCCTAATTGCACCTACATCACAATATCTGTTTTAATTGTAAGCACATCATCCATAATTTGCACATTACTGTATATTAACTCTGTATTTAGAATGATAGCCACACACGCGGCAGTTTGAAAGCAGATCCTCTCAAAGTCAAATTGCCTGGAGGCATTTACTGTATCAAATGACAAAGCATTATACACTGCATTATACAATACAAATCGATTTACATAACAAGATTATTAGATCTCACCTCTTTCCCGCAGGTTTCGGAACAGACGGGATGATCCTTTCCAAACAGGTGGCGTATCTGACAGAATCTTGTCTAGATCCTTTAAAAAAAAAAAAACACACATATATTCAGTATCATTCAGATTTTCTAAATTCAGAAGTAGATAAATATTCAGTTAAAGAAAAAACAAACCTGCTTTGTCAGGGATTTCCAAAACCTCTTTTCTAAAAAATGAAGACAGATATAAGAATTAGTTATGGTATAATTCAAATTATTTCTAAATTAAAGCAGATAAAAGATAAAAAATGGGTCGAAAGTATAGCATAACACTCTAGTTTATGTACAATAATTCTGTATTAATGATAATTAAGTATTTTTCGTATCTGAAAATGTAAGTGAAAAGCATGATTACTTGCCAAAGATAGCTAGATAGAATTATTCTTTATTAAATAAAAGAGATAATATTTAATACATTTAATTTTTGTTTTCAATACAATTTAATAAATACAAACTGTAGCTTCTGTTTATATAATGCAGTCAAATTGTGTTTTACAGCCACAGCATAAAACCATAAATACCACTATTCGTTCCGTCACGCATATGCCATTAAAGATGGTGATGCAATGTTTGCCTGCCATATTACAGTTCACATTTTATTCTCGTCTGCACATTCCAGGAAGTCCAAGTTTCAGATAGCAGCAAACATGACTGGTTGAAACTCAACTCCCCTACAAGTATAGCTGGGTCCTGAAAATACATTTAGCATATCAACTCTACCATCTGGACCGATCTCAACGCCTTTCCACTTTATGTGAGATATGAACTTACTGAATTCAGTTGAGCTGAGATTCACAGTACCTGACACACATGTTTAGAAGTTGTCTGTCTAGCTGGTTTCAGATTTTGGTTACAGAAATAGGTCATAAGTGTGATGCTGGCAGAGAGAGATGACTATCTTCATGCAGTTGTTGCGGCTACATATGTTGATTTTATGCCTGCAGAGTTACTTGCTTTTAAGATAAAAGGGTTATTCCTCACTGAGGCAAATATTGCTAATAAAAGGTATAATTCACCCAAAAATTAAAATTCTGTCATGCTGTTTGAAATCCATAAAAAATAAAATAAAATAAAAATGAAGAATATGCTATTCATACTTCCTTTTGGGTTTGATTTATTAATGAATTGGTTGATCTGGTTAACAAAAACACTACTGTAAATGATTTGGGATTCCTAGCCACTGTTACTTTTCTTTTATGGTGCTTTTAAATTCCTTTTGAAGCTTAAATGCTCCATTGAACACAGCAACCAGCACTTTCTTCAATTTTCACTTTTGATCATCAGAAAAATCATGTTGTACGGGTTTGAAACAACTTGACGGTGAGTAAATTGTGATTTTTTTAACTAAGATTGGCTAGGTCGATTGGAAGAAGCCCTTTTGTCCAGCTTTTGTCCAAAGAACATTTTGCTAACATTCCTATTAAGATATGAAAACATTATTTATGATTGTTCTCTGAATGTTCAAAACACCCAGTTTTTTAAAGATTTTTGGAACTTTTTTGGTTATGCAAACATTACGGTAACATTCCATTTTGTCATTTTGCAACCATTACAGGAACGTTGCTTTTAAAAGTTCACAAAATATCCTGAAACAAGTAGAAACATATGAAAACATTACACGAAATAAACTGTCCCATGAATGATGCATTGTACAGTAATGTTTTTGTGCTAATGTCTTGAGAACATTATTAAAGACCAGATAACTCAGAATAAACATTCTAGTAACATTACTAGAAGAACGTTTGTTCATAACTTTTCCAGAATATTAGTCAAAGTTCTGAAAACATTTCCTGTTAGCTGGGTAATTGACCCTTTCATATCAGCTTTCAAATTTTGTCATTTGTAAAAAAAATTCAACAAATAAATACCATTCTGTGGCCCTTTAATGTGTCATGACAGATCACTGTTGCACCTCAGTTCAAGTGGCACGTGAACTGATTATCTCTTCCTCTTTACTAGATATAGCACGATATAAACACAAATGAACATCAGCAGGTATCTTGTTTCAACCGCTTAAAGAAGTTCAAGTCCACCGACGTTAATATACTCTACTGTCTGGTTTGTTTGCCAGACAAAAATGGCAGATTCTGCGTTATTGGTCAGATGACAAACTCCCCACGAAGGGCCAATTATTTATCTCAGTCAGTGTTACTTGCTATTTGTCAGCCACTAGGATTCTGAGAGCTTCATGTGGTAGTCTATAGTAACACAATCATATAATGAGTTCTAAGAAGGATTATTAACTGTTTGTGTAACTCACTCTTTGGTTCGCTCATAGTGACGGACTCAATGAAGTCGAGGGGAGTCATATAAAGCTGTCCATCATACTCCAGTGAACTGAAGAGCCTGAACCTGTGCTCATGGGCCGACATTGAAACCTCTTCATCTTGAGCAGATGCACTGGCCTGTAATTAAGCAAATTCACATCTCAATTAGAGGACGTAGAAATACAGGATAAGACAGGTGTGACATTGGAGAAAGTGCTAGCCATCTTCTTTTTCCTTCTTTCAGTGGACATCCTCCTCCTGTACAAAAAAAAAAAACACACACACACACATGCACACAAACATCCACAAGCAGAAATATCAAGAGGACAGTGTTCTTCTCACTCTACAGTGGCCGGCAGCCAGGCCCACTGGGCACTGTGCAAACACCCTGGGAATGTGTGCCCTGCTACTTATTACCCCCATCAAACGTCGACCCGGCTGCCAAGCTGCCGTGTCCAGTTACCTCAACCCTGGATTCCTGCGTCTCAATCCACAACTCAAGGTTACGTCTGACCAAAGCAGATAAGAGTACAAAAACAAAAGGGAACAGTGCGGACAGAGTCACACAAGACTGATTCAATCCTGTGTGGTTTAATGATCAATCTGATAACAGTCTGATAAATGCTTTTTCGACAACAGTCAAAACCAAGAGTATGTGTACCAGAGGCACTTAAACATAATCCAGAGGGTTCTTTTGCATTGTTAAACCTATAAAATATAATAATTAATGATTAAATAGCACATTTTTAAGGAAAAAACTAAATAATGTGTGTTATAAGACATACATACGTGCGGATGACCCTTGTAGCAGAATAGCTTTTTTTCTCCCGTATTATTTGTTATTTTTTGTCTAAAAGTGACTTTAAAAGGCCTAATAGGCCTAATAACATTACTCTCTTACAATATGAGTCTAAGAAAAATATCGTAGTTTAGGAAACACCAATGTAGATCAAAGTACTGATGTACTAATGTAAACCAACAAATCTGACTGGAAAGAGATTTTGACAATACAGGAGAAATGGTTGTTGACTGAATTTGCATGCCTAGTAAAATGACCCTTTCAGAGCATAAGTCAATACTACGCATGCAGAATATATCTATAAAATGTACAATATGTACAACACCTATAATATTTGTTCCAATATTTCTTTAATATGTATATTTTATAGAATCACAGTGTATCACCTGACTGATGAATTGGGAAACCGAATTCAGCACCTCTCTAGTGGAGAGCGACAGTTTTGATGGCACATGAACTTCACCGATTTTACGTTTTTTAGAATAATAAAAACTGGGATGCTATAGAAATATTCAGTGTAAGTACAAACGTAAACATTTCAAAATGTAGCCTACTAAGATTTAGATACCTTCTCTTTTGCAGCCACTGCTGGCAACGGAGAAATCAATGCACGCAGACTCGCATTGTGCTGGTAGTAAACAACAGCGTATCCACCGACAGTGATACACAGTCCTGTCCCTACACGCCTCAGAACTGCTCTTTCCCTCCATGACTGTCTGCTGTTAAAGTAAAGGCTTAAACCATTTGAAGAGCTGGTGAACTTGTTTCGAAGAGCCAGAAACCGACGCACGGCGGCCATCATGACTGTGTCACCGCGGGCAGACCGCGCTCACTATCGCGAGATGAAATATGTGAGCTCGCTACAGCAGCACATGGTGCATCAACACATTAGCAGCTGTATTTGCAGTCATCTGTCCTTTCTATTCAGGTCATAGTTAGAAGTCATAGTTAAAGCCCTCAGACCTCAACATGTTATGTTTTAACGTTTGGAAAAGACCTCCATCAAAAAGTGGTTCTTTCTTTAATTTTTTTGTGGGTTTCTTTTACACTCTTTAAGTTGGTAAACAGTTTCAGCTGAAATACAACAGGACAGTTTGGGTTTGCTGTAGCAGTAGATTTTCTTTCAGCAACTATAACTAAGTGTTTTGTTTGTTTGTGTGTGTGTGTGTGTGTGTGTGTGTGTGTGTGTATGTCCATATGTCTCAGATTTGTATATAATATTCCCATATTTGCTACAAATTAAATATAGAAACCTATAACTAAAAAAATTTACAAATTATTGTCAACACGCAAAATGTGTTAACAACCCTAAAAACATTACAAACTCATACAACCTATAAAAATAGTGTTTGTGAATGTGTCAAGTGTTGTCTAGTCACAGTCCACTGCAAATATTTGTATAGGTTCAGAAGTATATTGTATTATTTATACCCTAATAACAACACTGTAGTTACTACAGTAAAATAACTATATATTATAACATACTTTTTATGAATTTATAGTGAAATAAATATGTAATAAGTAGTATATACCTTTATATATATACTACTACTTATATACTATCTCTCTCTCTATAGATAGATAGATAGTTAGATAGATAGATAGATAAATAGATAGATAGACAGACAGACACACAGACAGACACACATCCATCCATCCATCAATCTATCTATATATTTTTTTTTGTTTGTTTGTTTGTTTGTTTTTTGGAAAGATCTTCTACCACAATTCTTCACCACAATTTCTACACAATTATTCAGAATGTTTAAGTTGATTAACTTTTTTTCCTCCTGCTCCCCATAATGTAGGTGGGTTTAATTTGTACTTTGCTTGTGAGATGTAGCCTATACAAAACCTAACCAACACAAACATAGACATCAACTAAAACACACAACTGAGATTGTGCGCAAAAACTCAAGGCTGGACCAAACCGATGTCCCGCCCACAGAAGCCCGATCTCTGCACCTGCCCCGCGCGCACAGCAGCCACTCAGTGCGCAAAGCACTTCCCACAACAACACATACCTGCTGCCTCATACCTGCGGCACAGTTATTCATGTCAGAAAGCACCACCGGCCACCATGTGGACGAGGCATAACAGCAGAAATTAAAGGACTTGTCTGGAGTCAGTTGTTTGCAGTGACTAAGTTTCTTGCCCACTGAATATGTCTGTATACCTAATCTACAGGAGTCAAGTGATATTTCATATGCGCTCAGCATGGATCCACTACAAGTGACGTGCTCGCATGGATATTATTCTTCGTAACGTATAGCTTTGGACGATTGCTTCACAATATACATCCAGATCAAGTTTCTCTGACCGCTCCTGCTGGACTGGCGGTTTGTGATGGCAGCTATGGGAGAGATCGGGACGCTTTTACAGAGCCTGGAGGGTTTCGGACAGGTCGGATCACAGTTCTTCCTACCACCTCTAGGAGAAAACCTCGGGCTGTTGAATGATCATTTAGTTCCAGCAGAGAGACTGTCGCGGAGCACCTCCGCAGATCTAACGCACTTGAAAGGGATCCTGCGGAGAAGACAGTTGTACTGCAGGACTGGATTTCACCTTGAAATACTCCCGGACGGCATCGTGCAGGGCACGAGAAAGGACCACAGTCGTTTTGGTAATTTACCACTTTCTTTTCAGCATGATTGGTTTGTTTACACAGAATATGAATCATAATATGTACCCACTTTTTAAAATGTGGGTTCTCCCGTTTTTATAGTTCGTATAGGTCAACTTAAAGTTGTTCTGGTCACTTTTAAATAACCCACAAATTCAATAACTTGATATGAAAAAGGTCAAATGTAATAACAATTACATTTTTCAATTTGTAAATATAAATAAACAACCAACTCCAAAGAACAGCAGAAGTCTTTACAGAAAATTGTGTAAGAACTACTAAAGAACTTTTGTTTTAAATTATATTTATTTTAACTCTATAATAGTCTATGCAGATGGAATATGCATTGCATTTCAACTTTCTCACAATGTGTGATGAGGGTTCAGACTTCAAAGAACATCTCCTGAACAATTGATTTATTCTTCTCCAGGTATTTTGGAATTCATAAGCCTTGCAGTTGGATTAATAAGCATCCGTGGAGTGGACAGTGGTCTCTACCTTGGGATGAATGACAAGGGAGAACTTTATGGCTCTGTAAGCAGAATTTTGACTTAAGAATTCACCCAATTCAAAAAGTATTCTGCATGATTGTTGTTCTTATTCAAGCCCAGTAGATGGCATATATGTTTTATCATTTTGACCACCTCTCTCTGTGTTATTAATTATGCTTGAATTATTTCACTAACATGTTTTTTGTTTCTTAGGAGAAACTCACAGCAGAATGTGTCTTCCGTGAGCAGTTTGAGGAGAACTGGTACAACACATACTCTTCTAATCTCTACAAGCATGGAGAGAGAGGAGCGAGATATTTCGTGGCTCTCAACAAGGACGGCACGCCACGTGATGGGACAAAATCTAGGAGACATCAAAAGTTCACTCACTTTCTTCCAAGACCAGTGGACCCTGAAAAAGTTCCAGAACTTTACAAAGAAGTGCTTGGACACAGCTGAGACCATCCGTCCCAGTTAAAGGGCGAGAGGGATGCCTAGTTTCTTCTCTACATGACGTGGAGATGCTAAAGTTCGGCTAAAGTGTCCAAACCTGAGGTGTGCTCTGGAAATGCACGGGCCAGTACTGATGGTGAAGACAACAGTCCTCGAAAGACTCCCTACGTTGGTGCAGTTGGTGTCTTTGTTGCTGGTTGTAACTGACTAGTAGCATAACATGTCCATAAAAACCAAAACTGAGGGTTTTGGAGGTTTTAAACATGGTGCTGCTTTGCTCTGGAAATATTTGATATGGGTTTAGAAGGACTTGAAGGAACAATGCATACATGATGCTCAGAGATGACAGAACTGGGACGGTGGAGAACAGGAGATGCCATCTCAAATGATGCTATTTATACAGTTCTTGATACACATATTTATTGTATGTATTTATTTATTTGAAAATATAAATATAT